CCTCCCTCCCCCTGTGTGTTTTCTATGTATGTGTATATGTGCACTTTCCTGTGAGTGCAACTCTCCTGTGAGTGCAGGTGTTCTGCACATGTGTGTGTAGGTGTGTTCACCTATGTGCGCATGCATATGGAGACCAGAGGACAGTCTCAGCTGTTGTTCCTCAGGTGCTATCCTGGTTGTTTTTGTTTGTTTGTTTGTTTGTTTTTAGAATTGGTCTGTCACGATCCTGGAACTCACAAGTAGGGTAGGCTGGCTGGCCAGTAAGTCCCAGAAATCCATGTGTCTCTACCTCTCTAGTACTGATATTATAAGCATATGTCACCATATCCAGCTTTTTAGACATAGGTTCTGAAGATTCAACTCATGTCCATGTGATTATAAGGCAAGCACTTTACTGACTGAACAATCTTCCCAGCCTCAACCACACAATCGCAGAGCCCATGTGATTCCTCTTTATCACACCTATTCCATTCATTCCTCAGACACTGTTCCCTACTGTTTACAACACGACATGCACCAAACATTGCTGGCATTGAAGTGCTTTTTATACGTCTCAGATATCTGCAAAGTAAACAGAAAATTCTTGCCCTTCTTCTAAAGAACCTCTTCGTTGAACCACCCTAGAAACAAGTACAGTTACTATCCTTAGAAATCCCAAGAGCATAACCTCAGAACAGAATCTTGTCCATGGAAATTCTCAAAATTAATAAGAATCAGAATCACTAGGGAAATTGTTTTCCAAAAAAGTGCAAATCATTAGCTCCCAGAGAGTCTGACTGTTTGTCTGGGATAGAGTCCAGAAACTGCATTGCAGTAGTCCTGATACAAGTGGCACACAGGTCACATTTTCAGAAACACTGGTCTTTCCAGTTCATCCAAGGAAGTGTCAGAGCATCCCATCCTGGAATTTATTTGCTCCTGAACTACGTTAGTTTATTTTTTCCTCCACTGATTCATTTGCACTGTCATTCAAAAGCTAGCCTTAAGCTCTCATTCTGCCAATCGCATTCATTTATAATAACTTAAATGTGTTTCACCTTTTCTAGGACCT